TATATATTTATCATATTTATACAATAATAATATATTAGTTTATATTGGTAATAAATATAAATATTTTTTTTTTCCAAATTTTTTTTGGTTGGGTTTAAATAAAAAAAAAATATAAATATAGATACAAAATAAAATAAAAAAATTATATATATATATATAGTAAATTAAATAGTAAAAATGACCCCTTCATCAAAAGAGGAAGGGTCACAATTTGTGGATGCCGAGAGTTCAGATAACGAATTAAATTCAAAATCTACAAACAACATGACAATGGCATCTTCATCTAAATCAATGGAGACAGATATTTCAACTAAACCAACTCCAACTTCAACGACATTACCAATAACAATATCACCAAATAAAAATAATTATTTTAATAATAATAACAACAATAGTGGGTTCAATTTTACAAACAATAGCACCAAAAAGAAAATTTGATAATAATGATAATAACATAAATAATAGTTTTAAATAATAGTAATAATAGTTTTTTAAATTCAAAATATAGTGGTGGTAGTAATAGCAATTTACTATCAGAGTTTGATGATAAAGAAGAAAATACTATAACAACAATAATATCGAACTCAATTGAACAAAGTTTAAAAAATCAAAGAAATTTAAATAATAGTAGTGATAAAAAGCCACAATCAGTTTTTCAAGATGGCAATAAAGAATTTACATCAATTTCAAGATCAAACTCCACCGAACCAGAATTTGATACAACAAATTTAAAATCAATTTTAGAGGGTTTAAATAGAAATTTAAATAATTCAAATATTTTTTATTTTTTTCCAAGAGATCAATTTTATAATTTTATTTGTATATATAAAGGTAATTAGTTTTAATTTATATAGTTTAAATAAATGAAAAAATAGTTTTTTAAATTTCATTTACTAATTTTTCACTTTTTACTTTATTAATAAATTTATAGGTTGTCATAAACCTATAAGATCAAGATCTTTTGAACAATATATATTTCATTTAAAAGTTCACGAGAATAACAATCATATTTTATTAGATCATATGCTGAATAATGAAGGAAATCATTGTTCAAACGATAATGAGTTTTCATTAGAGAACGGTGAACAAGCTGTAGAAGAGGCAATGTCTTTTATACATGATTCAACTAAAAAGCTTGAAGCTTTATTTACAAATTTCGAACAACAACAAGAAGCAATAGTCAAAACAATAATACCATTTAACGAAACAACTACTAAAAAGAGAAGACCAGAAAGATATCAACAGCAATTACCAGCACAGCAACAACAACAACAACAACAACAACAACAAAATATAAATAGAATGGATGAAGATGATGGTATCGACGTTTCATTCGATAGTTTTGCTATAAGATCAGGGGACAGTGTGCCTTTGTTCCCAAAGAATAAAAATAGAATACAACCACAACCAATTCCACAACAACAACAATCATTATTTAATAGTAAATCATCGGCATCATCATCCCCCTCAATACCAAATTCACCACCATTAAATAGCAGTCTTTTAACTCAACAAATGCCACTTCAACAAACATCATCACCACAACAAATGCCAATACCAACACACTCTTCACTTTTTTCATACTCTCCACAACAACAATCCCAACCTCAACAACAAATGTTATCTCAAGACTATGGCCAAGTTTATCCATCTAGTTATCCACCACCATCATCCCACCATTTTAATAAACAATCCCAACCAATATTGGCCAGCAGCATTCCTACCACAGGCCCATCACAATTACCATACTACCAAAGTTCAGCACCAGAGGATGAAAAAGCATATGCTACACCAACCAGATACTCATCAAGAGGTGTTCAACTAAGAGAGCAAATGATAAAGTATGGCTTAAAACTATTTAGAATGGATTCGGAGGGAAAATATATATGCTTTTTCTCGGGTTGCAATCTTCACATGATTACAAATTTCTCTAGACACGTAGCTAAGCATGAAAAAGTAGGTGACGTTATTAAACCTGAACTATATCATCTTAGTAATTTATATCAAAGCCAAATACAAAATCCAAATCAACCACAATCACCTCAAACTCCACTCTTAACACCCCAACAACAGCAACAACTTCAATTACATAATCAACAACAACAACAACAACAACAACAGCAACTCCAGCAACAACCAATGAGCATTACCAGCCCACCAACGAGTTTTAAAAATCTTCATGAAGACACCGATATGTATGGTGTTAACCAAGAAGTTGATTCCCATGATGCCAGATATAACTATCATTTATCACCAAGAGGTCAACAACAACAACAACAGCAACCACATCCATTTATAAACACCAATAATAGCAATAGTAACCCATCAACATCACCACCAACATCAACCAACTCAACACCATCTTTTTACTCACAACAACAAAGACAATCAAGTATACCGCAACCAAATGGCGAAATAATACCATCTGCACCTACATCACCACTTTCAATTTCGGCCAACAGCAGTGCAGGTAATAACAATACCAACACAAATAATCCAAGTGCCAATAACACCAATAACACCAACAACACTAACAACACCAACAACACCAACAACACCAATAGCACCAATAGCACTAATAACATCAATCCATATTCAAACGAAATTAATTGGGTTTTTAAAAGAATTAATAAATCTTAAAAACAACTTAAAAAAGAAAAAAAAGAACCAAAAAAAGACAAAAAAAAAATGAAAAAAAAAAACCAGAAATTTATGATTAGTAAAGCATAAATAACCAAATAAAATAAAATAATTAAAAAATATATATATAAAAAAGATATCTTTTTTTGTATATATCTCTTAATTGTTTTTGTTTTTTTTTTTTGTTTTTTTTTAATATTTAAATAAAACAAACAAAAAAAAAAATTTACTTTTTTAAAACAAATAATAATACTTAATTTACTTTTATTTTCTTTATTCCTGTATTTTATAAAAATGATCATTTAATCAGATTTACCATACTGGTCGTGGTTAAATAAAATTTAACGAAAGTGGGGGTTGTGTTTTATGCATAAAAAAATTTTATTTTATTTTTAAAAAAAAAAAATTTTATTTAAAAAATATTTTTTTATTTAAAATTTTTTTTTTTTTTTATATATTTTTAAAATAAAGGGCGTCTTGTTAAAAATAATTAAATAAATAAAAATGACAATGGATGTTAAAGCAGAATCATTAATTCCAATTATTATTACTGGTCCATCTGGTGTTGGTAAAGGAACCTGTAGGTATTTTATAAATATAAAAAAATCACAAAAAAAAAAAAAACCATAAAAAAAAAAAACGATGATTTTTAAAACAATAAAACACAGCACTAATTATTTAATATAGTAATTGATAGATTAAGAAAAGAGTTTGATGGATCATTTGGACATATTGTTTCACATACTACACGTAAACCAAGAGATGGTGAAGCCCACGGTGTTCATTATTATTTTACAGATATCCCAACAATGACTAAAGAAATCGAAAATGGTGATTTCATCGAACATGCCAACGTTCATGGTAACTTTTATGGTACCTCAAAGAGAGCCCTTCAAGAGGTTGCTGAAAAAGGTAAAATTTGTATTTTAGATATCGATGTTCAAGGCTGTGAATCTGTTAAAAAAGCTGCTATTCCATGTAAATACATTTTTATTTCACCACCAACTTTTGAAACTTTAGAAAAGAGATTAATCGGAAGGTAATTATCATTTTATTAATAATTTTAATTAGCAATTGGAAATAATCGTTATAATAGTTATAAACAAAAGGAAACATTTATATTAATTATTATTAATATATTAACAGAGGTACAGAAACTGAACAAAGCCTTAAAAAAAGATTAGAAACAGCTAAAAAAGAAATGGAATATAGAGATATGCCAGGATTTTTCGATCACGTTATTGTTAATAATGTTTTAGATGTTGCATATGACGAATTAAAACAAATCATTTTACCATATATCAACTATCAAAAATCAATTTCAAAATAAAATAAACTAATTATGATAATAAAAATTCTAAACATAAAAAAAATAATATTTCATTTTATTTACTTTTTAGTTATTTTAAATATTTTTATTATTTTGCCAAAAAAAAAAAGAAATCAATAGTTTTCAATTTAGCAAATTTTACTTTAAACTTTTGGTAAGTTGGGGTGTTTTTAACCAAATTTGGATGTATCGAGGGTTCGTTTTTTTTAAAAATTGAATCCACCCCAACAATTAAAAAAAATCGAATTTCAAATTGTAAAATAAAATTAGGTATTAGTCTAAAATATAACTTTTATTTTAAATATTTAGACTATTCTATTAATCAATTTCAAAATAAATATTAAATAAAAAAAAAAAAAATAGTTTTTTAATTTTATTTTATTTATTTTTTTTAAAAAATTTTTTAATTTTTTTAATTTTTTATTTTTTTTATTATTTTTTTTTGTGGCAAATTTTTTTTAAATTATTTTTTTTCATTTATAATATTATTTTGTTTTTCGAATACAGCTTATAAAACTTAAACATTATTTAGTTATATAAATAAAGATAAAGAGACCCAAAAGTATACAGAACAAAAAAAAACAAAACAATATATTTTTAACTAAACAAATAAATAAATAAACAAATAAAATATTTAATAATTATTTTAATTTTGGATATTAGTTTTATTTTATTTCTTCTTCTATTTCTTCTTCTATTTATTTTATTATCTTTTTTTTTTTTTATTTAATGTTTATTTTTTTTTTTAAAATACATTTATTTTTTTAAAAAAAACAAAGTATCTACTTTACATTATATAGGGAAAAGAATTCAAGAGTTAAAACAATAATATATAATAAATAATTAATTAATAAAATAAAATAAAGTAAAATAAAATAAAATAAAATAAAATAATATTTTAACAATATAGTTTAAAATAATAATATTAATCATTTAAGTAATTAAATAACTTTTTAACAATATAAATAAAATGTCTGTTCACTTTAAATTGAAGAGTGAAATTGATTATGATACCTATTCTTTCGAAGGTAGTTTCATATCTGTAGGTGAACTCAAAAAGTATATCCAGAAAAAAAGGTTAGGCAAATCCACTGATTTCGATTTATTACTCACAAATTCTCAAACAAATGAAGGTAAAAATCTAAATAATAAAAATAATAAAAATAATAATCATAATAATACAATAGCTTTTTTTCCTTTTTCTTTTTATTTATTTAACAACAAAATAAATTATTTAATTTTAGTAAAAAAAAAAACCAAATATAACTATTTCTTTATTCTAACACGACTTTTTTTTTTTTTTTTTTAAACCCTTTTTTTTTATTTGTTTGTTTTTATTTATTTTTTCTATTTGTTTTTTTTTCTCTACAATTTTTAAAAATAATTAAATTATTTCATTTTTAAATGAAATATTTAAAATAATATAATATATTTATAAATAAATTATTAATTATTATTTTGTCATATTAAAAAAATTTAATTATTTTCTAAATTTTATTTTTGTTTATATTTTTTTATTATCTTTTTTCAAATTTTTTGATTTTTTTGTGGGGGTTATTATTTATTTATTTAATTTAGAGTACAAAGATGAAACCTTAATGATTCCAAAGAATACATCAGTTATTGTCAGTAGAATTCCAATTACAAACGCAAGTAGATTCCAACATTCAGCTCCAGTTAGTGCACCAACTCCAAATGTTCCAGCTCCATTAATTATTGCAAATAGTGAAGCAACTGAAGGTGTTGACCAAGAAGATTTAAAGATTAATGCATTGCTCCAAACATCAGTTATTCCAACAGGTGGGGGTTATAATAAACATCATGGTCATCATCCACATCACCAACATCATCATAACAATAATAATAATCACTATAGCAATCGTTCTGAAGGCGGTGGTACCAGTGGGGCAAATGGTAGTGGTAGTGGAGCAAATGGTGCTACACAAAAACCACAACCAGAAAAAGCGCCACATCCATCTTATATATGCCATCGTTGTTACCAAACCGGTCATTTCATTAACCAATGTCCAACTAACGGTGATCCTAAATTTGATAAACAAAAAATGAAGAAACCATCAGGTATTCCAGTAACTTTCTTAAAGCCATTACAACCCTCAACTACTCAAACACCAATGGGTCCATCAACTGTATTAATGCCAGGTGGTGGTGTTGCTGTAGTTTTAACAAACGAATCCCAATTTAATAAAATGGCAAAAACTATCATCTCTACCGAAGAAGCCAAAAAACAAAAGCAATTACAACAACAGCAATTAGCACAACCAAATTCAACCACTACAAATCAACCACTATCACCATCATCATTTAACACCACCACATCCACAGTTTTAACCACATCAAAAGCCGATGAATTTGAATCGTTTAATATTGAAGAATGTAAAAAATGTAATAAAACCTCAAGTAGTGAAAATCAAATTCATGGTATAAAAGCAAATTGTTGCTTAAATGAAATTTGTTTTGATTGTAAGTTTTATAAAGAAATTTTATCTTATAATAATTTTAACAAATATTAATAATTTTTTTTTTTTAATAGGTATTGAAACAAATATCATAAATTTAAATAAAAAAACCTGTCCGCTATGTTTTTGTCCTTTTGATGTTTCAGAATCAGGTGAACAAGGGGCCTTTAGTAAAAATGGTATCCCACAGTTTTATAAAAAGAAAAGAGAACTCGAACAAAACACCAATAACAATGATGAAAATAAAAAAAGATTTAAACCATCATATAATAATGAATTTAATAACAACAACAATAATAATAATGACTCAACTGTTTATGAACATTACCAAAAGCCAAAATATAATAATAATAACAATTCCAATAATAACTATCACCAAGAAAAATACTATAGAAATGATCAAAGATATAATGTTGACCCAAATATAGACTATAGGTATGCCAATGGCCAATATCCACCATACTATCCAGATCCATATGCTGGTGCCCATTATTATGATCAACAATTACAAATTCCATCATACTACCCCACTGGAAGAAATGCATATAATAATAATAATAGTAACAATAATAATAATAATAATAATGGTAATAATAATAATAGAGAAGAAAATGCAGATGACAATAGATCTCATAGGGATGAAAGAGATGGTAATAGAAATAGAGATAGCCGTGATAAAGATTATAAGAGTGGTGATAGAGAATATAGAGAAAGAAGAGATAAAGATTCATCATACAAAAGTGATAGTGGCAATAGAAGAGATGATAGAGATAATAGAGATAGAGATAGAGACAGAGACCACAAGAGCAGCAGTAGTGATAGTAGAAGAGATGATAGAGATAGAGATTACAAGAGTGGCAGTGACAATAGAAATAGAGACAGAGATAGAGATAGAGATTACAAGAGCAGTGATAATAGAAGGGATGATAGAGATAGAGATTACAAGAGCAGCAACGATGGTAGAAGGGATGATAGAGATAGAGACAGAGACAGAGATAGAGATAGAGACAATAAAAGAGATGACCACAAAGGCAGTAGTGATAGAGATAGAGACCGTAGAGATAGCCGTGATAAAGATTATAAAGAAAGTAGTGGAAATAGAAATAAAGAAAAAGAAAGAGAAAAAGATTATAGATCAAGCAGCAGTAGCAACAGAAGATATTAAAAAATCTTCAAATCATCAAATATACAATTATAATTTATTATATTTTAAAAAAAATAATAAAATTATCAAAATTTAATCAAAATAAAACTATTTAACTTAAAATGGCAGTTAAAAAAGCCATAAAGAGATTTTTATTTTTTTATTTATTTTTTTTATTTTTTTTATTTTTTTTATTTTTTAAATTAAATTTTTTTTATATTTTTATTTTTTTAATATTTTTTATCATTTTTATTATTTTTTTTATTTTTTTTAACTTATTCATACCTTGTATATGTAATCAAAAATAAAATGCAAAAAGACATCAAAATTGAAGATTTAACAACACCATGTGTTTTAGTATTAGACCCAGTAGTTAGAAACAATTGTATTAAAATGAATGAAAGAGCTCATAGTTTGGGTGTTGATGTAAGAGCTCATATGAAAACTCATAAAACAGTGTAATTGTTTAAATTTAAAATTTTTTTATTTTTTATATATATTTACTTATATATTTTATTTTAAATTTTTAGGGAAATAGGTAAATATCAATTTGAAAAAAACCAAAATAAAGATCAGGTTATAAAGATTATTGTATCAACATTAAGTGAAGCCAGGTTCTTTTCAAAAGATTTTTCAAATATCCTATATGCAACACCAATATCACCAAACAAAGTTGATGAGGCCTATCAAATTCATTTAGATATCGAACGTTTAAATATAATGTTTGATAATATTGAACATGTTAATAGTATGGTAGAGTTCTCAAAGACCAACCCAAAATATTCAAAGCGATGGTCAGTTTTTTTAAAGATCGACTGTGGTTATCATAGAGCTGGTGCAAGTCCAGAGTTACAATCAACTACTGATTTGGTTCATTTAATTACTAAAGGAGAATTTAAAGACTATTTCGATTTTCAAGGTATTTACTCTCACTCTGGCCATTCATATAAATGCAACACTCCAGAAGAAATTAAAGAATTAGCAAAAGAAGAAGCCCGTGTAACTGGTGACTATGGAAAGAAATTAAAATCGCTTGGTTATCATGTAGAGAATGTTTCTATTGGCTCGACACCAGTTTGCTCTCATTTACCTGACGATTTAACAAGCTATGGTGTTACTGAAATTCATCCAGGAAACTACACATTTTATGATCTAATGCAAATGGAGTTAGGTAATTGTTCAATTGATGATGTTGGGGTTCATGTTTTGGCAACCATAGTCAGTGTTTACCCAGAAAGAAATGAAATACTTATAGATGCCGGGTCATTAGCACTTTCAAGCGATCCAGGTTGTACCCATTTAAAAAATCGTAATAGCCCTAATTTTGGAATTGTTTATGATGATACAAATTTAAGAATTGTTGCAGCAAGTCAAGAGGTAAGTAAAGTTCAAAGTTCAAATGGTTCACCAATTGATTTTTCAAAATACAAGATTGGTTCAAAAATTAGAATAATTCCAAACCACAGTTGTTTAACCGCCGCAATGTTTTCAAATTATCATGTTATTAATAAAGATAATAATATTTTTAAAACTTTTAAACCAAATAAATACTGGTAAATAATAAAGAAAAATAAATAAATTTTAAAAACAAAAAAAAAAATTATTTTAGATTATTAAATTATTATTATTTTAGAATTTTATTTTATTATTTAAAATACTATTGATTTATAACCTAATATTATAACCTAATTTTTTTTTTTATCGAGTAATTGAAAAAAAAAAAATTTTAAATTTATTAAATACAAAACTATTGAGACCTGTTATATTGAAACTATTATATTGAAACTTTTATATTGATATTATTTTAAACTATTGTTATATTTCAATTTCATTTCCCATTACATCCATTGACTCTTCTAGTGAATCTATTGTTTCTATTTTATTATCGCTTATTAATTTTTTGGCCTCTTCCTTACAAGCCTCATGCTCTGGTGATAATAGCGGTAAAATAAATGTTTCTCTTGTATCTGAGATAACATCCGATATATTTGTAACATTTGTAAAAAAGTTCTAAAAATATTAAAATTAATAAATTAATTAGTAATAGATTTAAATTAAATATTTAATTTTAAAAATTTTAAGTTTTTTTTTTTTTTTTTTTACATATTTATATATAACATAAAATTATTTTTTTAATTATAAATAATTACCTTAATGATTGGTGTAATATTTGTTTTAGGATTGTTAAAGAATGTTTTAGTTCTTTTATCATAGATAAATGGAACTTTGTCTGGATTTCTAAATTCTTGATAGGAGAAAAAGAAATGATGGCAAACCGCTAAAATTACCATCTCAATACATGTGATAAAATCCTGTAATGCTGATGAAATAGACTCTACTGACCAATTTTGAACTGCTGAAATAACACCAAAATAAACTAAAAATGAAATGGCAACACCCTATAATTTAAAAGGTAAGTGGTTAGTATTAAAAAAAGGGGAAAAATATAAAACTATAATACTCATATGATACCTACTTGCCAAAAAGCAAAAAAGATAATCGATTTAATACATAAAAATTTACCAAGTGGTTTGAAAGGCTTTAATTCTTCTTCGGTCGCCTTATAAAACAAAACTAAATAATACAAACTCAACTATTTTTAAAAAAAATTTAAAAATTAGTAATCGGAATATTATTTTATTCAAATCAATAAAAATTAACTACTTACACCAACTGAAATATTTTCTACAACTGTTAACCAAACATAACCTTTTAAAGGAGTAAACTCACCCTCACCATATTTTCCCTGTGTTTCCAATACCAATGATATAATTGCTATAACTGGTTTAACAAATACAAACTGTAATACAAATCTTTTGCAATTTGTTAAAAAACTTCTTCCTAGTTTAATCCTTGGTAAAAATTGAAGTGGAAAAGGATGTGTCATAGGTTCCTTGCTGTGAAGAACTTCTAGTAAACCACCTTCTTGTTTATTTGTGTAAGTTACAATAAGTGAAAAGAAACAATATAAAATATATGCTTCATATGTATCCCTAACAACATCAAAATATAAACTATATTTTACAAATCTTAATGATAACCAACTATCGATAGCATAAATCTAAATAACAATATAAAATCTGTATTAATATTGAAAATCTAAACTTTCTTAAAATTCAATTATCCAAAAGATAATTTAAATAGCATCCCTAAAGAAACAATCCACAAATTTTCATTTTCTATTTGAGATACAATTGTTCCCTATATTTAAATATATATTTGATATTTAATACATACTGGTACCATTAATAAAATTCTAACTATATATTTTTGTAATTCTGGATCTGTATAATTCCTAAGATGTTTATATATAAGATAAAATGATAATAATGTTGCTACGCCACTACATACTCCCGCAACAATCCACATAAGACTAAAAGATGAAAGAAATGCCATCATTTTTGATTATTTATATGTGATTATTATTATTATTATTATTATTATAAAAATAAAAATATGTTATATTAATATTACTGGATTGAAATTCAACTGTAGTGTATCTATAGTAGTTTTATATTATTCTTTAAACAAATTCAAAAACACAAAAAATAAAAAATAGACTATTATATTTTATTTATATTTTATTTATAAATATATAACAACACAAAAAATTTTATGTTTAATTTTTGCTTTTTTTTTTTTTACTTTATTTGTGTGTATTTTTTTACTTTTTTTTTTTTTTTTTTTTTTAATTAAAAATAAATTAAATTAAAAAAAAATTTTAAGTAATCTACTATTTGTTTGTACTAATAGTAATGTTTTTTATATAATTTTATTATTATTTTGTTATTTTATTATTTTTATGTTTCATTATTTTATTATTTTATTATTTTATTATTTTATTTTAATATTTGCATTTTGTTATCAATATTCACTTAAACATATATAATTAAGTATTTAATTTCTGTATTTCTAGTGTGTGATGTTGTGTGTATATAAGTATGTGTGTGTGTGGTGTGGTATTTGTATGTGAGTATGTGTTTATATTTTACTATTTTATTTAGATCTTTAAATTATAGGTTTTTGTTTAAATAACTTTTTTTTTATTAAAATAAAGAATTAAATACATACCCAACAACATTAAACATTTTTTTTTTTTTGATTAAATTTCTTCTTTCTCGATTGAGAAAGAATTTGGATATTTATCTTTTTTTGGATATTATAATATATATAATTAACTATAATATAATTTTCAAAAAAAATTTTAAAACAAAAAATAAAAATTTAAAAAAAAAAATGAAAAAATAAAAAAAATTAAAAAAAAAAAATTATTTTGATTATTCTATACTCAATTTTTCAAAATCTGTTAAACATACAGATAAAATAAACCTATAAATTCAATTTTTTATTCAAAAATAATGATATTTAATCAACCAAAAAAAACTTAATTTTACTTTTACTCAAATTCAATTTTATTTTATTTTTATTTTTATTTTTTTGGTAATTTTGTCACAAAGTGGAAAATAAAATAAAAGAGATAAAAAAATAGATTTTAATCTATTATTTATTATTTATTATTTATTATTTATTATTTATTATTTATTATTTATTATTTATTATTTATTAATTATTATTTATTAATTATTCTCAAATATTATTCAACAAAAAAAAAAAGTATTTATAATAATTATAATTATAAAATCTGCTTAACAAAAAAAAAAATAAAAAAAAAAAAATAAAATGAAAATAAATAGCCACCCATTTTTTCTTAATAAAATTTTTTTTTTTTTTTTTTTTTTTTTAAATTTTTTTTAAAATTTTTTAAATTATTTTTTTAAAAAAAACACACAAAACTTTTTTTTTTTTTTTTTTTATTAAATATCCAAAATTTTTTTATTATATTGTATATAAAATGGTAAATTTATTTATATATATTTCTTTTTATTCAATTTTTCTTTCTTTTCATACATTGGTTTAATTTGTTTGTTTTGCTTATTTTGCTAATATTGTTGGTGTTGATATTTTTTATTTTATTTTGTGTATTTTTTTTTTTCATTTATTTTATTTGAAATTATAGATTGATTAACTAACATTTTATTTTAAACATTTCATAGTCATCACAAGAAGCCTTAACCGAAGAACAAATCGCCGAATTCAAAGAAGCTTTCTCACTCTTTGATAAAGATGGTGATGGAAGTATTACCACCAAAGAATTAGGTACCGTTATGAGATCATTAGGTCAAAACCCAACTGAAGCTGAATTACAAGATATGATCAATGAAGTTGATGCCGATGGTAACGGTAACATTGATTTCCCAGAATTTTTAACCATGATGGCTCGGTAGGTTTTCAATTATATATAAATAGTTTAGCAACAGCCAAAAAAAAAAAAAATCAATTGCATATAATATGGTTATTTAATACTATCAAAATAATTGGAGTTTCAATTTAAAATAACACTTTATTTTAGAAATAGTGATATTATATCTAATTATATAGCAAATGATAAATCAGTGAACAACAAAAAATTTAATTTTCAAAAAAAAAAAAAAAAAATTATAATTTTACTAACATTTTTTTTATATTTTTTTATATAGTAAAATGCAAGATAATGATACTGAAGAAGAAATTCGTGAAGCCTTCAAAGTTTTCGATAAAGACGGTAACGGTTTCATCTCTGCTGCTGAACTCAGACACGTCATGACCTCACTCGGTGAAAAATTAACAAATGAAGAAGTCGACGAAATGATTAGAGAAGCTGATTTAGATGGTGATGGTCAAATTAACTACGAAGTAAGTATTTTTATTTTTAGACCTATTTGGAAGTTCATATATTTATTAATTTTTTTTTTTTTAAATTTTTTCAGGAATTTGTTAAAATGATGATCTCTAAAGTAAGTGTTTTGTTATATTATTATTATTTACCCATTCGAATCATTTACTAATTTTTTATTTTTATTTTTTTTTAATTTGCAGTAAAATATTTTGATCCTCCAAAAAAATTTAGTATAAAAAATAAAAACCACCTCCAAAAAAATAAATAAATTATTCTTTCTATGTTGTAAAAATATTTTAGTATTATCATTATTTAAAATGTTTCATTAAAATTTTTTTTATTGTATAAATATTGTGTATTTAAATCATTGGTTTATCTTTTAAAAAAAAAATAGATCCATTTCTCTAATCTTGATCATCTGCTTAAAAAAAAAAATTTATGGGACAGAGAATTTTTTTTACACATTCCATTTCGTTTATTTTTTTTGAAAAATTTATAGATTTAATGATAATCACCCTATAGAGTTAAAACAGAGAGAATGATTATTATTTTAAAAATTTATTAAATAGTTTTTAAAATTTTATATAATTGATTTATAATAAAAAAAAAAAAAAAAAAAAAAAAAATTTGATTAAATAATCCATAAGTTAAAAAAATAATAAAAAAAGAATATATCTTTTTTTTTTATTTGATATAGCTTTTTGAAATAAAGGGATGTTTAAGTGCACTGATTCTTGCAAATAGATTTGTATCTAAACACTTATCTAAAAGGTTATAAAGCTATACAATAGAAGAAGTATACAAAATAATTGGAAAATAACATGAACAAAAACGACATAATAGAAGTATAGGATAATTTAATCAATAAAATAAAAATGTATTATAAAAGTAAAGAAATAGCAATCATAAATGAAAGTGAAATATGAAAGAAAGAGTTAACAATCAGACACAAATATGCAGATGAATAAGAGAAACAAACAATTAAAGAAGATTATGACCAACAATTAGAGAATAATTAATTCAAAATTTTCAACTCATTATCTTTACAATAGCAGAAACACAAAAATCTGTGCATATGAGATATATAAGAGCAAGTTTCCAACCATGGTAAAAGAAAGTGATTACAAAAGGAAATGTCCGCAACCTCAACTAACAACTCGAGGAAAGATATAGAAAAACCAGAAAAACAGAACAAACCATTATACAACTCACCTATCAAATAAAGAATATATACACAGATTTAATTGACATGAAATACAAAATATTATACCTTACGGCTGGTGAAAAATTTTCTGGGCTATAAATTAATTCATTACCTGTATCAATAGTTTCTATATTATATTGGATTCTATTTGGATTATTACTATTGTTACTATTCATACTGATATTATTATTACTAGTGTTATCATTAAAGTTTGGGTTTATTATATCATTAAACTCACTATTACTATCTTTCTAAAATATTTGTTATTTTGCTGGTTGTTGTCATTGTTGTTCTAGGGGGTGTTTTTGGTGGTGTTGGTATTGGAGTTGAAGATACATCTTCAATATTTTCATTTGATTCACTTCTTAATAGTTTGTCAAAATGTTTTTAGAGTAGAATGTATTAACTGGAAAAACAAAAAAAAAAAAAAAAAAAGTTATTCTTTACTAAAATAATCATAATTCTTTATCTTAAAATCATCACAACCATTGTTTTTTCAAAAAAAAAAAATTCGGTTTAATTTTTAAATTAATTTTTTTTTATTTTTTTTTTTATTTTTTTTATTTTTTTATTTTATTAAATAAGAAAATAAAAAAAAAAAAAATTATATTAATTATATTATTATAATATTAATTGTACAATACCTTTTTTTATTTTTTATTTTTTATTTTTTTAATAGTTTTTTTTATTTTTATTTTAAATATTTATTTGTGTATATTTATATATAGGTTAAAACAGGGCTCAAAGTTTTTTATTTTAAAATTTAGGGGTAAATCTTATAGCTTGATTAATCTTTATTGTTAATATTTAAAAAAAGTATGTTTAATTAAATAATTCAAAACAACAAAACAAAAACAATAACAATAACACAACAATAAAAATAATTTTAAATAAAGACAACAATAAACAGCATTATGTTTTCAATCAAAGTTACTATTATTTCTTTTTTTTTTTTTTTTTTTTTTTTTTTAGATTAAGATTATAATGTTTTATTTTTAAAAAACAATCTTTTGATTTATAGTAGTTATCAAATATTTATATTATAGTTATTACCACTTGTTTCATACCAATTTTCATTATAATAGGAAATAAATATAAATTTATGTGTGTGTGATATAAATATTTTTGTAATTAAAAAAAAAATTAAATAAAAATAAAGTTTTTAATATCACTGTTGCTTTCATATACACCCAATTATTTTTCTTCTTAAATTGGTATATTTTTGTATCCACTTTTTGTAGAAATATAAATATCTAAACACACAGATTTAAAATTTTTTTTTGTTTTTTTTTTATTTAATTTTCGAGAGACACACATATAATATTTACATATTTATATAACAAATAAATAATTTTAAAAAAAGCGCTATTAAATTGGGTGTTACTCCAAATATAAACATATCATTTCAAAATTTTTTTTGAATAATTTTGGTGTGTTTGGTGGTAAAGTGTTTTGTGTGTTTTAGTGGTCTGTGTTTGTGTGTGTGAAATAGAGAGTATGTGTGTGATTAATATTATTTTAAATAAAAAAAAAATAAATAAATAAAATAAAATAAATAAAAAAATATTATTAAATTTTTATTTTTTTTTTCAATTTTTTTGTTATTGTATCATTTAATTTAATATATTATACTATCACACACTATATGTATTATTATAAATAGAAATAATAATATTACAAATAATATTATCAAAATAATATCATAAAAAAAAAAAAAAAAAATATAATATTTTTGTAATTTGTTATTTTTCTTTTTAATATTACATTTTTTCAATAATAATAATAATAATAATAATAATATAGTAATATATTATTTTAAATACTATATTGCTAGTTAATACTATCCATAGCAATAATAAAATAACAATTAAATATTTTAATTTTGGACAAAATTAAAATATTTTGTTTTGTAATAATTTCTTTTTTTTTTTAATTTTCTTTGTTTTATTTTTTAATAAAATATTTCAATATAAATGATTGAATCACCATTAAATAGTAACACTATTACTGATAATAACAACAATAATAATAGTAATAAAAATAGTGATAAAGAAACTATTTTATTTAATAGTAATCATAGTAATAATAATATTTTAAGTTCTTCAAAAGAGGAACAATTACAACAACCAGAAGAGGAAGAAGAAGAACAAATTAAACAGCAGCAAGTTCTATCTTCATCTGGTGTCAATAAAATACCAAATAATAATAGTTGTAGTAATATTATTGTAGAAACTAGTAACTTTGACATTGGTTATAATAATAATAATAATAATAATAATAATAAAAATAGTAATATTTACTCAGAGATGTCAGTATTTGATAACTCTGACGAAGATTGTACATCAAGTGATAGCTCTGGTGACATTTCAATCTCTTCGGAATTTGATATTACACAATCACAATCTTCATTATCAAGTTCAAGAAATAATGCATTTTTAATAAATCATAAAAACAGCGCCTCTAATTCTAATAAAAATATTCCAAATATACCTTTAAGCTTTTTACAAGACCCTTTACCAATTTTAAATAGTAATAGTTCAACCGAACAACAGCAAACACCACCTCAACCAAATACCCCTACTTCACCAAAATCCTCCAGATCTAAAGGTGGGTTAACACCCAAAAAAGAAAAATCATTTAGTGAAGTAACAAAAAGTATTATATCACCCAGAGCTTTAAAACTAGGTAAAGATAAAAAAGATAAAAAGGTAAAATCACAATCACCATCACCATCACCATCACCACTATCACCTGACGAGAAACTTTCACCAGTATTATCCTCAAATAATATATGTTCATCTCCACCATCATTGGAAAATGTAGAAAATACTATTGCTTTAGCCGACAAGAATAAGAACGATGTTTTATGTGACAAATTAGATTTAGAAAATATCAATAGCGAAAAAAATGAACAAATGGTTAATAATGATACACATCAAACTACTACCACCACTACTACCACTACTACAACGTCGACGTCACCAAATAGTTTTAATTATTCAGCCATACCACCACCTGCACAGCAGCAACCAAAAAGAAGATTCTTTAATTTCTTTAGAAAATCAAAAACTACAGATAGTAATAATGAAAATAAAACAAATACTGCAAGTAATAACAATAGCAGCAACAGTAATAACAATAATGTCTTATTAAATAGTCCACTATCCAATATTAGTAGTGGTGTAAATACACCATCAGGTAGCTCAACAGCAAGTACACCACCCCTATCAATTGATAATAGTAAAGCTATAAATGGTATTAATATGAATGGTAGTAGCAATGGCTTACCACACAACTATTCAGCGACACTTGAAGGATTCAAACCTGTCTCACTTACCATATCATCATATTCACCAGGTGGTATTGTTTCACCTTTAGTCCAGCATCCATCACCATCATACCATACAAGTCTTGTTAAACCACCAAAAATTTATAGAAAGAGTTCATTACCGGGCAATACTATTTACTACATACCCCAAAAACCAATGATGAATGAAAGTTCACTATCACCAAATAGACAATCACCACTAAATAGATTAACTAGTAGTGGTGGTAATATAAATAATAATAATAATAGTAATAATAATAGCAATAATCCTAATATAATTATTGATCATAATTCAAATATATCCCCAAAATTAACTAATAATTCAACCAATCCAAATAATACTCATTATTATAACAATAACAATAATTTAGGTTCTCAAATGTCTTATTCTACAGAGTCAGTTTGGTCGATGATCACTTCAAATTGGGAGGAATGGTCTGAACCTCATTTTAGACCAACCCTAAAGAAATATATATATCAAGGCATTCCAGATAAGCATAGACCTATGGTTTGGTACCACCTATCAAATATGATTCCCCAAAGATCACCAATTCCAACATGTACAGTATTAGCTTTATCACATTCATTAGAAAGAAACAATACAAACATCCCAACTCTTACACCCCTATCTACACCACTATCCACACCTCTAAGTCAAACCCCAATTTTTAAATCCTCAAGTAATTCTTTATTCGATAGTGGAGGCCACTTTTCATCAATATCATCAGATGGAGGTGGTGCTGTAATGAATAATTCAGGTGGTTCATTAAAAAAGAGTTCAAGTAGCGGTAGTGGGTTAAATAATAGTTTAGGTGTTCCAAACTCACCACAAGCAGTAATGTCACCAACCATTATATCTATAAATAATAGCAGTAGCGAACAACTAACACCAGCACAGATATTAAAAAATCATAATAATAACCATCCAACAAATAAACCACATAAATGCTTCTATCGTAGTATTATTAAATTCCCATCAAAAGACGAAGAGCAAATTAGAGTTGATTTAATTAGATCTTTTCCTGATACCGATAGTAAATTGGTCGAAGTCTATATCACCCAATTAGAAAAAGTTTTAAAAGCTATATCACTCTATGACCCAGAGATTGGTTATTGCCAAGGTATGTCATTTGTAGCTGCTTTAATAATACCCTATTTATCAGAAGAAGAAGCATTTCATATTTTAGTAAGATTTTTTAATGGTGTTATGAGAGATTTCTATGGTGTTGGTAAGTAAATTTAATTGTAAAATTTAAAATTATAGAATATTAATAATTTTTTTTTTTTTTTCAAATTAAATATAGGTATGAAAGAATTACAACTTAGAGTTTTTCAATTAAAAAAATTTGTTGAAGATTTATTTCCAAAACTACATAAGCATTTAAATGATATAGAATTAGATACCTCAATATTTACATCACCATGGTTTTTAACAGTGTTTGCATATCACTTTTCGGATGAAGTTGCCACAAGAATATTGGATGTTATATTTTTCCAAGGTTTAGAAGCATTTTTCAGTATAGCATTGGCTATATTCCAAATTATTCAAGATGATTTGCTCGAATGTACAGAAAACTCACAAGCAATGAGTTATTTTAGAAATGAAACTAAAACCAAAATCGATGTTGATACACTAATGTCTACAGCCAATAGAATTTCAATTAGTCCAAGTCAACTGGCTAATTTTAAACAACAATTCGAAAATGAATTTAAACCAACCGTTATTTCACAGTTCAATCCTGATGAAACCCCAGAAAAAAAACTAAAGGATCCAAGATGGGTAGTTAAAAAATATAAATTAAAAGAAAGAATTTCAAATTTAGAGGATGATTTAGCACACATCAAACAAGAGCTTCATTATAATAAAGATAAAAATGAAGAGGAAAAAAGACAAACAATCAACCATCTTAAAGATTTGGCCGATCGTGAATCAAGTTCTCAAGAGAAATATCATCAACAAGAACTCAGACTGTTACAATTAGAAAAAGAAAATCAAAATCAAAAACAACAAATTGCACAATATTCCACATTGAATCAACATTTTACACAACAAATAAGTTTATTAAATTCAGAACTAAGAGATTTACGTTGGCAAAATAATCCTAAAAATTCAATTCAATTTAGTTGATCATAATAAAAATAATATAATAATAATATAATTGATATAATTGATATATATTTAAAATAATATATATTAAAATAATATAATAAAAATGTAATATATTACAAAATTTAAAAAAAAAAAAAAATTTATGATTTTTCATAAAGTTTTATTTAATCATTTCTTTACTTTCATTTTTTTTTTTTTTTTTTTTTTTTTCATGGCCCCCCCTAATTTTTTTGTGTGGAAAAATTATAAAATACGAAAAACATTCGCTTACAAAAAAAAAAATTTCTATTTTTTTTTTTTTTTTTTTTTTTTTAAATTTTTTTAAAATTTTTTTTTTTTTTCTGATTATCATTATTTTTTTTTCTTTGTTTTTAATAACAACAACTTTAATATTGAATTGTTTTTTTTTTTGTGTTTTTATATAAAATCGATTATTTTTTTGTGTGTTTTAAAAAAATATTTAATAATACACGATTAATATTTATATAGTATAGAAAAAAAAAGAAAAAAAAAAAATGTATAGAGTTGGTAATTCAATTAAAAAATCGAATCAAATTCGATTGAGTTGTGTTAATAGCACCACATCAATTAGAAACTATGCAACAGATAAAAAATCTTCAAACAAAGAAAGATATAGCGAATTTGTTGATTTCGACGATGAAGATTTAGTTATCGATACAAGAAAAGTCATTGAAAAGAAAGAAGAAATTCAAGAAGATGTCAAAGATTTTGATGAAATGCTTGCAAGTATCTCAATGAAAGATTTAAAGTTGATGAGATATCGTGAAAATCCAGAAGTTTTCGAATTATTCAAAAAACAACACGTAGATTTCAACGATGCTTTCAACATTAAAACTACCACTAAATCACTTATGGAAAAAGAGAGATTAAAGAAAGAACAAGAATTAAAAGGTTCACAATTCAAAACTCAAAAGGTTTCATATGAATCAGTTTCTGATATTAAAACAAATTATATTGCACAAGAATTAAACAAGTTTAAAGAACAGTAAGTTTAAATTCAATTAATAATAATAATAATATCAACATCAATATCAATATTAAATCAAAAGCAATAATATGCTTTTTTTTATTTATTTTTTTTTATTTTATTTATTTATATAATTTTTTCTCCTTTTTATTTTATAAATTTATTAATTAATTTATTATTTTATAGATACGAAAAACCATTAGTTAAAATGTATAATGAAATTACAACTCAACAAAATCTTTTATATAGAACAAAAAGAGCAGAAGAAAGATTATTTAATAAAAAATTACAAGCTAATAATAAACAATATAAACTCAGCAGTTTAGAAAGACATTACCGTGATGTTGTTCAAATTAGAAATGCATTAGATTTTAGAGGTAAAACCATTTTAGCTGAAAAAGACGAAGAAGATGCTTGGCAAAGAATTGTTGAAAGAACTGAAATTTCAGATCCACATAATCTTTCAAGAACCCTTATGATGGATGAATACAATGATTTAGGTTTTCAAACTGAAATTGATGAAGAATATATTAATCTTCTTTCAATTAATCCATTCGATTTTGCTAATCCAAATTCATATTCATCAATGGTTAAATTCCTCGATACTCTTGCCGAAGAAAATGATAAAGATATTCAAGACTCTACCTCATCCGATTCTGCTCAAATTGAAGAATATTTAACCCAACAACAAAAATACAAAGAATCTTTAGTTGAGAATTACGAATTCTATAAACAAATGAATAGACCATCAGTTGCCAACGCCCAATCAATTGATACCTTATTAGATACCGCTAAAATCTCATTAAGTGCCGGTTCACCACCATTAAACGAAGATCAAATTATTGATCTTCTCCCATATGATGAAGAAGTCGTCGAAGAACAATCTGAAGATCTAACTGAGGATATTACTGAAGAGCCACATTATCGTAGACAAAAAATGGATGATATTTTTGAAAATGAAGACGATTATACTGAAGACTTTGAATCTTTAGCTGCAAAAAATGATGGCCCTGTTCAAACTGAAACTGTTGTTAAAAGTAAAGTATCTGCAATAGTAGAGGAAGATTATACTGAAGAACCAGAAATTAAATTGGTTAAAGGTCAAGAAGATGAAGAAATTAAAAAATTACAAGAAATTCTTGCTGATCAAGAAAAATTACCAGCTCCAGAAGGAATCCCATCCGAAAAACTTTCTGATGGTTTATTTGGTATTACTCAACGTAGACTTGAAATGGATGATGCCCCAATTGGCAACCTCATCATGAATTCAATTGTTAATCAAAGAAAGCAAGAAGAAGAGTTCTTAGAAAACTATAAATTACCAGGTGACGAAAGAGATGGTGTTATTGAGGAAGAAAAAATGTATCAACCATTACCAACAGATTTACCAGATTTAGAAGCTTTAAGTGCTAAAATTAGAAAGGCCGAAGAAACTGAATTAAGTGCTATTGCCGATAGATTCATTGGTGTCGAAGTTAACGAAAAGACTGCTCACGATTTAGTTGACCAAATCTTCGAGTCATACAAAACCAATAACCTCTTTAACCCAGATATTATTGAACACGATAAAAATGTTATCAGAGAAGCCAATGGTGATGTAGCCGTTCCAGATTCAATGTACTTTGAATATGACACCACCTTTAGAGATTTAGTTGATAGAGATATCGTTTTCAAGATGCCACTTAAGGATACCGATCTTGTTAGAGTTTTATCACATCAACTTACTGAATCTGGTCTCTTAAAACAAGAAAAAGTATTAAAATTCTCACCAGAAGTTATGCCAGTTTCAGAAGAAATGGTTGAACAAGACCCAGAAAGATTCCCAGATTTTGTTAAAGAAGTTCTCAATCAAGACATTGAAGTTGATGAAACTACCTCTGCTTCAGCAACATCAGACCAACCATTAGAATCAGATCAATCATCAATCTCATCAATCTCATCAATCTCATCAATCTCATCATCATCATCATCATCATCCTCCTCAAATTCAGTTGAATCATCATCAGAACAAGAATCATTCAAAGGTGATAGTGAAATTTATGATGAAAGACGTGTCTATATTAATCTTAAACCAGCTGTTAAAGATTCAGGTGTTATTACTCTCCCAACTGTTAATAAAAAATTAAGATGGAAATTAGAATTAGACGAAGCCGAATCAAACGATGGTTGGTTAATGGGTAAACCATTTGATATGTTAGATTACAGAATGAATGGTCAAGAATCAACCATTTCACCAAAGAATGCTCAAGTTAATAAAATGTTTGATGAAGAATATGATGAGGAAGCTGCACCAATCGAAGAATTAGTTGATGAAGAAGATGACGATTTTAGAGATCTTTCACCAGGTTGCGATCAAGAACCAGAACTTTTCGAAGAAACTGAACTCTTCCATTACCTCCAAGAAGGTGGTGACCAAGAATGGTTCAGACCAGAAAAAATTGGTGAAGATGACATTAAAGCCCTCGAAGCTCGTCAAACTTGGATTCCAAATCAAAGACAACATATTTTCACATACCCAATTCAATTTGTATCATCATCAAATACTACCGATCAAACTAAACAAGACTCATGGATTAACAGAAAGGCTGTTATGAGAGTTAATATCCAAGCTTTCAGTTTACCAGAGTGTGTCGAACAAAGACTTGCTGAATTAACTGGAAAGAGATATGATTCAAATAAGAAGGTCCTCACCTTAATTGCTAACAATCATAAAACTTTAAGCGAAAATAAAAACGAAGTTAAAAGAATCTTTAGAAACCTCTTACACGAAGCCAACTTAGCAGATCCAAACTTTGTTTCTGTTAGATCCGACAACTTTAAACCAACTCCACCACCATCATTCGTTCCATCATCTGCCGCCAAAGCCCAAGAAAAATTCAATCTTTTCCGTGTTCAAGGTTTCCCAATTTTAACAAATCAACAAATGAAACAATTACAACTTTCTTCATTTATTAAATCACAATTAGAATTATAAATATAATAATAATATAACAATAATATAATATATAACGAAAAAAAAAAAAAAAATAAAAAAAAAACTAAATAAATAATAAATAATTTAAACTAAAATTATAATTATATAATAATAAAATAATAATTTTAAACAAAAATAATAATAATAATATCGAAAATAAATAATTCTTTTTTTTATAATTTTATGTATTTTTTAAATTTTATTTTATTTTTTTTTTAGAAAAAGGAATAATTGTTTTATAATTGGGAAATAAATTCTAATGGGTCCTCTAATGATTTTTTACCTCTGACTGCAATAGTATTTGCTCTTTGAATATCACCAGTAACTTTTAATTCAAAGTTTCTATAATTTAACCACATATCTTTATCTTTGGTTTCGATTGTTTTGATTGAAAGGCAATGTTCATAAAGTGATCTAATATCATTAAAATCTTTTTCAATTCTGTCTTCTTGATATAAAATACATTTTTGATAAAATTCTTTTTCAATTGGTAAATAATTAAAGCATCTAATATTAAAAAAAAAAAAAAAAATTAGTATAAATATAAAAAAAAAACATATATATTATTTTATACATACAATTGATAAACTGGTTTTAATTTATCTTTTGGTAAATTTAAAAATGTATAGTCTAAAATGAAGTTTTTAAGTGAGGTTTGAACTGAATTGTTGCCATCAGATAATCTAATTAATTTTTTAAATAATTCTATAATTTTGTTGTAATCTTTTTCGAATTTGAAAGCTACTTGATATTTAAAGTAATCAAGGATAACATTGGATGATAATAAACATTTTTCAATTGAGCTGTGTTTAATAGCCATTTCAAAACATTTGTCGACATTGTTGATATCTAATGATAAATTTAAATTTTCGAATAATTTTAATACTACTGAGTTTTTAATTAAAAGGTTGATTCTTTGTTTCCATAATTTTGGTGAGTTCTTAAAGAGATTGAGTGATTCTTCTGAAACTTTAATTGCTTCTTCCATTAAACCTATTTCCAATAATAATTCAATATAAAAATAATAACCATTTTCCTTTAAGAATTGATTTTCGATTGAATATTTATAAAATTGTAAAATTGTTTTTGAAATATCTTCAACAATGCTGCTATCTTTTAATTTAATATTTAAAATAGTTTCTTTTTTAATAAAATCGATGGTGCTAAATAAATAATCTTCATTTTTAATAACCTATAAATTAAAAAAATGTTGTTAATATTTGATATTTAGTTTAGACTATTATAATAGGTGGTGCCAAATATTTACATAAAGACCTTGTTTTAAAATTTCTGTTGAGCTTTTAACTTTATTTATAATGGTTTCTTGTAAATTTGATTGTTCGATTGAGGCTAAAAATAAATAGGTTTTATCGCTATTTTCAAAATCTTGTTTTAATGATTTTATGATTTCTTTTTGAAGGAGTTCACCTGCGCCAACTGGGTTTTGTTCATCTTTACCAACGTTTAAGAATTTTGAAGAGATTATATAAAATTTCTTTCTGAAGTCGAAATCATCTTTAATACTATTGATTGCTTTATTGTAAACGATTTGAGCAATTTGACCTCTAATTAATGGTGATTGTTTTAACTTTTCAGCGTTTAAAATGTCTTTACCAAATGTAATAAGTTCATCTTTTTCTACTTTTTCTTCTTTTCTCATGTTATCTAAATTTAATCTAATTGAGGTTGATTCATCTTCTTTAGTAGAGTTTTGATTTTTATTAATTTCCTAAATTGATAAAAAAAGAAAAAAAATTAGTTTAAATTAAATTTAGGGAATATTTAAAAGTATAATTACATCTAAATAGTTGATATCTGAATATAATAATGAAATATATGTTAATTCCATTAAAAAGAAATGATGCCATAATGAATGATCGGTTTTATTGAATTGAATACCAGCTTGAATTAAATTTCTTGCATTTTGGATATTTTTATTAACTTCAAATTCAAAAGTTGCAGCTAATTTCCAAAGTCTTGGTGATCTTGGGAGGTTTTGAAGAGCAATTGAGAATAATCTACCAGTACCTTCTTTACTTGCACGTCTCATTCTAATATTTAATGAACTGATCCATAATGATTCATCTTTTGGGAATTTCTTTGTTGCACTACCAAATAAAATAAAAGCATGTCTTAATGCTGATCTTAATCTAAAATCAAATTCGATGTCTATAATAAATAAAAATGAATTATTAATATTGTTTCTGATTTACATTAATATAGTTTGGTTATAAGTATATAATACCTACGTTTTTCTTTTCCTCTTTCGTGAAATAATTTATCTAAATCCAATTCATATTTGATATAGGTTAAGAAATCTGATTTGTGTGCATTTCTATTGTAAATCTTGATTTCGTGATATTCTCTTTTTTTCATAATATCTTTACATTCTTGTTTGGTAATAATACCCATTGAAACTAATTTTGTAGTTTCATCTAATAATTGATCGATACTATAATTAACTTTATCCATTTTTTATAGCTAATTATAAATGGTTTTCGTCAAAATATATATAAACGAATGAAAAAAATTTTAAATTATTTTAATTTTTTTTTTTTTTTAAAAACGAAAAAAAAAAAAATTAAAAAAAAAAAAATAAAAAAATAAATAAATAAATAATTTTTTTATAAATATAAATAATATTTATTTTCTTAAATTTTAAAAAAATAATTAGTTATTTATTGATTTATTAATATAAAAATAAATATTATTATTATTTTTTTTATATTATTATATTAAAAAACTGTAGTTTTTTTTTTTGTGAAATTTTTTTTTACATATTTTTTAAAATATATTATTACTATTATTATTATCATTATCATCATTGTTATTATTATTATTATTATTATTATTATTACTATTACTATTGTTATTATTGTTATTGTTATTGTTAGGGGCATTATATAAATTATTTGAATTTTTTGGATCAATAAAAATATTTTCATCTTGATTGATATAACTTGGAACTAAATTTAGAGAATCTCCACCATAGTGGTTATGATGATTTTGTTGTTGATGGAATTGTGTTAAATTTTGAGGTGGAAAGTTTGGGGATGGAAGTGGGTAATAATAATCTTCATCTTCGTCGTCATAGTTAACCAATAAATTTTGATATTCATTTTCAAAATTTTCATTACTGCCATTATCCATGTTATTGCTTTTATTATACATTTGTTGTGTTTTTAAAATTACATTGTTGACACTTTCTTTTAAATTCTTTCTTAATCTATCATTCATACCATATATAATAGCATTCATTGAGCCCTGTAGCGGAACAAATAGATATGAGCCCATTAGCACATACTTGCTATCTAAACCTAAGCAATCCAATATTACTGCCATTAATATCCAACTCCATGTGAAGCCGAATGAAAACAAAAAGAAAATTGATGTCCAAACTATTTTTGGGGTTTTCTTAATATCGGGATTTGAATTGTTTTGATTATCACTATTGTTGATACTATTTTGGTGGTTTATTAAATTATTACTATCGATATCATTATTTGTGGGGTTTATTATATTATTATTAATTATAGGATTAATTATTGGAATGTTATCAATGTTGAACCTTCTTGGTCTATTATTTATGTTATTACTATTATAATAGCTATAATTATACACTATTTGGTTTGAGGCACTTTCTTTAAAGGTTTGGACCAATAAAATACATACTGCTACATTAAAAACCCATGTGAATAGCATTGGGATAAAAAATAATAAATGAGGAAATATCGAATTGCTGTGGCAATCTTTGTAGTTTCTTAAAAAGAATAATCCTATTAGTAAAATTGCTGATACTCCCCATGAAAATAAATGATACCATTTATAGTATGTTTCAACTCTGTCATTATTATATTTTATAACTATATAAATTACAAATTCGTTAATATATAATTTAATAGATTTTAATATATTATGATAAAATAAAGTTACCTTGGATTAAAGTATGGGCTATGCATATTTCCCAACAGAATGATGTTAAAAAGAAATAGTGTAGCAAAGAATCTGGAAAGTTACAAAGAAACGGAAGAGAATTGCTAAGGGTTTCGAAAAATTTCGGCCTGACATGAGTTGCTATTAAATATATTATTGATATTATTAAATCATTTAAGGTCATTATGAAAATGAGTTTTAATTGAAATTCTCTTAATTCTTTATAGTAAATGTAAATAAAAACAATAAAAATACACCCAGCTAATGATAATGATGACGAAATTGTAACTAATAATGAGTTGATATCATTAATGTCTTTTGGGATGAATGGTACTGAAGACATTGTTATTGTATTATTATTTTATTAATAAATAATATATTATTTATTATTATAATTTTATTATTATATAATTTTATTATTATATAATTTTATTTGAATATGATTATATATAGCAAATATATTTTTTTTTATATTATATTTTGTTTATATTTTATGTTAAATGAGGTTATTAAATATTATTAAAAACATATTTAAAAATTTAAATTTAAAATTTTTTTATTTTTTTATTTTTTTATTTTAGTATCAATATTAGATATAAAATTTATTATTACTTTAAGTTTACCATATAAATACTTATATGGAGTAGGATATATAATTTAATATATTTTTAAAATATTATTTTATTTTTTTTTTAATTTTTAATTTATTTAATTATT